ATATTATTTAAAATCCCGCAAACCCAAGGGGGGATAAGTATTTTGGGGAATGGATGGATGGATGTTTTTAAATGACAATGGTAAATAATTTAAAATTAATAATTTTATTTTTTTCCCTTTAAAATACAAATTATTTATTTAAATATATGTAAGTATTCTAAAATAATACATAAGTATATAAATACAATTCTAGTACATGAGCTTAATACAGTTATTCCTGTATTTTCACTGCAGTTCAAAATCTTCTGTTTCTCCCCCGGCAGGCATGACAATGTTTCCTCATGTAGATGTAGCTCATGGGTTTGACGACATTGCTTTCAATGCCTCTGACCGAAGCTCGTGGAGGAAGTATGCGAAAGCACTAGAAGCCCATCTGAAACGTAAGTCCTGGATGAGAGAACTACTAAGGTTATTGAGTTTGGTTTTACACTCTTTAATAGGGAAGATACGTTTTCTGTTCAGTGGGCACAGATTCAAATCGCTCCAACACGCTGTTTAACAAATCCTGCGGTCTATAGAAATACTGACAAGGAGGGAAACCCTTTTGTGCACTCAGTGTAACTGCTCAGTGCTGCCAGGGCCCCACTTTTTGTGCTGGCCTCTTAAGTTGTAGAGGCCAGGCTGGGCAGCAGCCATTGTTTGGTTATTTTATGGTCTCTCTCTCTCTCTCTCTCTCTTCCATCTCTTTTATTACGGTTTCCCGCCATGGCTGTGTTCAGCCTATGACGATGGAGTGCAGGATAGGCGGAACATTAACTGTGAGGGAAATACTTATTTCAAGCAAGATGACTTAGAGGAGAGTGCCGAGCGCAAGGCATGTCAGTTTAAGAGGTCCTGGCTGGGTGAATGCTCCGGGCTGAAGGACAGAGATTTCGGCTACTCAAAGGGAAAACCCTGCATCCTCGTCAAAATGAATCGGGTGAGACTGTAATAGAGATTATAATATACTGTACAAATATGATTTTGTTTGCTGAACAAAATCTCTCCAAAAACAGAATAAATAAAGCTCTGAAGCTCTAGTGCCATCTTGCGTCTCAGTGGTTAATTAAGTGGTATGTCAGACACTTGACTGTTTTCTGTTGTGACAGATTCTCGGGTATCTGCCTGGTCAAGGCACTCCAGTAAATGTTACATGTGGAGTAAAGGTAACAATTAATGACTAACACAATCCGTTACTACTATATAAATAACTAAATAAAACAATTATACAGTTTAACAACCCAGTTTCTTTGCAGTATTCCAAACAGTAACAATTTTGGATCTCCTCCAATGCTTTTCCAGAAAGGGTCAACCGAAGGCCTCGGAGAAGTCAATTTTTTTCCAGAAAATATCTTCAACTTGCGGTACTATCCCTATTATGGGAAACTGAGACATGTAAGTGATCCTACTTAACATTTCTCTCAGAATTCCTCATGACTTAATAGCATTTCATAGCATTTTTCACCATTTCTACAAACAGGTCAACTACTCTTCCCCGCTGGTGGCTGTGCGCTTTCCTAGTGTCCAGTATGACACTCAACTTCACATTCAATGCAAACTAAATGGCAAAGGCATCATCAACGATTCACCAACTGACCGTTTCCTGGGTAGTGTGTCTTTCACTTTAGTAGTGGGTGCGTAGGGTGGCAGTAGACCTAGAGAAATTGAAATTAAACTTCTCAGAGTATGTTATAATAAATGAAATAGCACACTGGGTGTTGTCGTTACCCATTAGCCCTCTGATTATGCCTCCGGCAGCCACTGTGCTATTCGTGTCAGAGCTGTGTTACTACACTACTTTTTCAAACAAGGAATTTCCCAGTAAGACTCAAAAGACTGAGATTCATAGATCACATTCAGTACCCAGCCGCTAGAGACTGACCTGCCTGGATTTCATTATAGGATAAAATGAAAAGATGAAAAGATGTCCAAATACAGTAAGTAGGTTGCAATTATAGCTATTGAGGCATAATCACTCTACAGTGAGACGTAGGCAAAACAATTCTCTAGATCTGTGTAGACTGTAGAATTAACATCTATTAAACCTTTTTGATCAGTTCTTTTGCTAAGTCAGATGTGTATATAACACAAATTAAAACACAAAAAATATTTTTTTATGATTCTTCTCTGTTAAGTCAGTCTTCTTTAAATTCCCCCTTTGGATGAAGAAAAAGGCCGGAAACTGCTTAACATGATCCTTTTGCTTGCTCATTTAATTGAATAACAATCAGATGTGGTTTAGAATTAATAATTGATTGTACATTTTTGGACTAAATTTTTCTTTCCTTTTTTTTTTTTGGATGTGCAACTACATTTTGATTCCAGAGGCAAATGTATTTTACTGAAATGTGGGACAGAAATCCCATTTCATCACTTTCACAGAGCTTCATAATGAAGTACTAGTTGATCTTTCTTTTTCAAAGCATGCAACCAACACTTCTTTAAAACGAAATCGAGTATGTCACATAATTCATCTCTGAGTGAAACTATCTGCTCAGCTGCCTGTAAGGAGGATTTCAACAGTATTATTTATTAATTGTATTTGAATATATTGACATGGTACAAACAGTTACAAAGTGTAATAGTGAGATGGAAATTGGTAACGGCACATCTTTGTTATTCAGTAAATGCAACGAAATATCCACTGGCTGACAAAGATTTGCCAGCTTATGTTTTAAACGCACTCATGTTCTAGCATAAACAATAAAGATGGATGAGAATTAACGGAATCAAACCTTTCTGCTCAGTTTTCCATTCTGTTTAAAAGTAACAAATCAGTTTTGATATGCGTCATATTGTCTCTAATGATAAATTGCTTGAGATGGTCACTTAGAATAAATGACAATGTAAAAAAACCATCACTACATTCAAACTTCAATGCAGTTATGTGCATTCAGTAATAGGCATAAGTATTATGCAGGTCAAAGTGAGATGCTTCTAGTGTTCCAGTAACAGAGGCATAATTTATGACAACAGTAACTTTTATAGCAACACTGCTGATCTAAGTCCATCAGTGGAAGCTAGAGGTTATAACTGTGAAATCATGTGAACTGTGTAAAACTACAGTTGCTTAACACCTCAGGTCTAACGTGAAATCAACATTGTACTGAGATTCTTGAAAAGAGGTCAGAGCAAGAAAACAAAGAGGAAGACTACTGTACAATACAAAAAAAAAAAAATTTTATTGAATTTTTTCCCACTTTGAACCAACATTCAAAGAAATTTAACTAAAAGGCACACTATAGTACAATGATATTCTGTGTTTAACTGTGTTTGTTTTAACAGCTAAATCCTTTGGGGGTTTTTATGAAAAATAAAATGGTTGACAAATGAACTGGTTTGGACACATTAGTATTTTCACTATGCAGAGCAGAAAATAGACAGGAACTTGTAGCTTTGGTCTTAGAAATGGTGTATTTTGTACATTGTATGCACGTGTCCAGAGAAATGACAAACTAAATCCACAAACCCATGTACTAACAAGCCTATCGTAACACTTCCAACATTCCCTGAGAGGGACCTAATGAAATCAACAAAATCTTCATATTCGATGCTGGTAAATGTCACAAAAAAAAAATTAGTGTCCCTTTATAATACAATATGCAAAGTGCAAGAGTGTGACTTATTAGCTCTGCTGATTAAGAAAATACACCAGGATACTTTTCATCCCTAATTTCGCCAACAACTGATTCATGAGAGTACAATTACAGAACTAATTTAGCATTTACATTCAATGGTTAATAAACTCAAAAGATTCCCAATTCTAAAATTGCATTATTCATTCATAATAATAGTTCACATGAACAGAAGTAACAGCAACCAGAACTGAGCATCCTTAGAGCAAGAAAAACCAAAACTCCCATAAAAAGGGGGAATAATATTTTTTTCCCATGCATTTAACATACAGCGCAATGCCAGTGGATTTTAGACAGCCTGTGCTTAACACCAAACAAGTGAATCATGCCGGTTGACATTGCTTCAAGGGTGATTAAGCAGAAATATGCCACATCATTCAGAAAACGTTTAAATCATACACAGGAAATTATTGTAGTAAGAATTATGTAGTAATGATATAATAACGCAGTCGAACGTTTTAGAAATAGGGGTGTCATCAGTGGTTAGTGCTGGCAGGTGAGGAGGGTCGAGCAGTTTGCAGAGCAAAAGAAGAAGCCAACAGGACCGGGAGAGAGAGGAGGAGCAAATATTAATGGTAAAAGAACAAGCCGGGTTTAGAGGCAAGATGGCAGCAGCTTGGGTTGTTATACAGACTGGTAACCAGTGCGACTCTTCCGCCGGCCAATCAGGTAAGAGATAAGCACTAGGATGATTAGGAAGCTGAGAGCCACACCCACAGCAATGGGTACGAGAAAACTCAAATCAGAATCCAGAAAGCATTCCTCCGCTGGGAGAAAGGGAGAAAGAAATGGAGGGTGAGTGATTACGGAAATAACACTGTACTGTTAGGCACTCAAAATCACAACAGGACTCACAATTTAGTCAGATCAATGCAGAATAGGCATTGTATTATGTGCCATACAGGCCTACCTTATAATCACCACGTTACATAATGTACTAACAAGGGAATACAATAAAATATTAGAAATATGAGACTCGTTTCAAAAGAATTTATATGTGCACATAAACTGAAATGATCTGATTTCTGAAATACTGCTAGATAAGCCAGAACTTGCATGGACCAATTCATATTTTCAGATTAATATTACGAATCAAATTGCTCATAGCCAGAGTTCTGACTTCTCTTTCTTCCAATCAGATAGGCCAGTAAGACAATAACAATGAGGACAGCCAGGGCAACTCCCACCGCTATAGGGACAATGAAGTTATCAGGCTCATCCGCGATGCAATCCTCAGCTGAAAATAAAGAGAATGAATGAGGGCAAACAAGCAAACAAGAAGAAACCGCAAGAATGTGTCAAACTGCAGTTGAAACCTATATGAAAACATTATTTGACATTTGCATTGCAGTTTTTGATTAAAACTGAAAAGATGGCCAACACCGATTTTATTGTTATATATAACTGTCTTTCTCCTTTTATTGCAGCTAAAAGTCCATTAAAATAAAACTATTCCATTGCAAAACAAAACAACCAAATCTCATGAAACACATCAAATATTTAGGGCAGTCAGATAAGGAATCCCTTTTCACAAGTCTGCAAGCAGAAAACGGTCACACAAGTATGTTCAGGGGGAAAAAAAATTAAATATAAATCCATCTTTATTTGATAAGTTATTGATGTAACTAATTGGATGGCAAGCAAAAGTAACTGCATTAAGCAAGGCACAAAAATACCAGTGACCAGTTTTAAAGGTTTAATTTGTCCTGGCTATAGTAAAAACAACACACATTTACAAAAGATTCTGCGTGGGTGCTGCATAGACTAAATTAGAAGAGCATAAAGTGAAAAATTCACCAGAAAATGAAGGGGGGGAAAATCTATGAAACCTAGAGAGCCATAATATGAGAAAAGAACATAAATACGTAAGAGAAAGCAAAGAACTTATCCTGAAAAGGCTCAACAACTGAAAATACAAGTCATATCTAATGTAACAATATATTTTTTATATATATATAAAAAGAAAAAAAAAAGAATCCACAGCCACTACCAAAGACGGTTCAAACAGGTGCAAAAATTAATCTTGCAGCAAATACAATTCAGTTAATAAAAAGAAGAATTTATCTTTCAGGCTAGAATAGATGTAAATAAGTCAAAATTGTGAAGAGTAGCTGACAAGATGGCTGATTTATAATTAATTGTCCCTTTTCAAACCCCAATAAAGGGTAACCAAACATTACCAAAACTATTTTGTAACAGCATTTAATTGCCAGTTAGCATTCCTTTGTATTATGCTTAACTAAGCGTCACTCAAAAAAATAGGCCTACATTTATTACAATGGTCTGCATTTTTAAAATGCTTGTCATGTGGTTTAAACATTCAAGCATTGGTTTTCCTGTTCTAGAATTTCAATTGTTTGAATGGGCCGTCCAGCATGTTTAGATGCTGCTCTGAATACAGGACGACCAACATGATGCATTTCAATTTATTGATGATTTCAATAAATGATAGCTGTCCAGTCACTATAGTGCAGAGTACCAACTTGTTTCTGGAACTACTTTTAATATTTAACCCAAACGCTGCAAGCAGTTTCAGTTTAAAGCTGTGGATACAGTAATGATAGATTTGATGGGCACAAATTAAATGAGCTAAATATAACAAAATAGACAAAAAAATAAATAAAATGAAAGGAATGTCTAAGAGAAGCAAGTGCAGGGTCTGATATGGAGCGATGAAATTTTAAATTGGCCACAACCCACAATCTAGTACCATGATCTAGGTACTGTGACTGTAGAAGTAATTTGCATTTATTAAAATAAATGGAGCTTTAAGCCAAAATACAGAGACCATGCACTTACTTCACAACACAAAATTTTGTGGTGCACACACAAACTTAGTTCACAATAGGAAGCTCTGGTCCTGGAGTGCCACTGTATCTTTAGATTTTCAATGTTGCAGTTTAAGGGTCGGTGGATTAATAGACCTCATTAGGACAAAACATGTTTTTGGACTCCCGTGGCCATGAGTCAATTGCCAATTGAGATTGCACAAAAACCCACAATATTTAAAATGGTCCAGGAACAGGCTTGTGTGTCCCTTAAAACACCCAGGATTTGATTCTGTGATTTTGTTGCATTACAGTGTTTGATATCCAACATAGGTCCTTCGTCGACCAATCACGTATGCAATCACAACAATGAAAATCAAACCAGCCAGAGCGGCACCAACAATGATTGGGATTAAGAGGCTGGTGTCATCCATTGAACATTCATGGGCTGCAGACAAAGAGAACATGAATGAACGTAAGATGAAGCTGCTATCTCCACATTAACACCACTGCAGACATTCTCAACACTCTTCACAAAAATCATAAAATCACAGACACTTATTTTGGTAAAACTGGGCCATTTCTATGAGACTTTACAGATTTATTAATCTTTGCTAACATAAGTTAATAAAAAGACAACTGATCAATGATAGCTTATATTAGCTCAGGACCATTATATAATATTAACATATTACTTTGTTGACATTAACATTAAGATAATAAATGCGTTAAAAGTATTTTTCATTGTTAGTTCATGTTAACTAAAGTAGTTATCTAATGTTAACAAATGTCCCTTTATAGTGAAGTGTTGCCAAAAATATAAATATAAATCTGTGATCAAATCATCATGTCCTTGCCTCACATTCAGACTACAATATTAACTCATATCCAGAGCTATCAGGATCAATTTGGCAGGAAATTTCAGACTGCCATTCATCCTTCTGTGCTCATCATATAATTTTTGCATATTCATCTTTCTTCTTACTTGCAAGTCACATCTGATATGATCACAGGAAACCATGGCCTTATCAGATTTAGCTGTGCATGAGAGCAGTACCTAAGCTTGAAAATGAACACTAACGAGTGCTGGAAAGCAAAGTGGCTTTTCACACCACTCTGAAAAGCAATGCTTCTTGAGCTGTAGTGCAAGTAGAAAAGTAGCTGATAAATTACAGCACTAAAGGACAAAGTTCAGTTATGAGTTATACATATGCTGTATAATTACCTCTGATGAGGTAATTTTCAGCTTTATTCTTTAGCATCACAAACAAATACATACCCGTGTTAAACTTGTTGTTCTGGACTGCGAAGGGCTGCACTTGTAGCTCAAACGTGTTGATGGTAAGCTTGTCAGTGATGTTGTAACTCTGCTCTTTTTTGCACATGTAGGAGCTTCCGACAGATGCCTCCCACAGAGACAAATTATTATTGGAGGCATTGAAAACATTTCCTGTTGAAGTGATACCAATCAGAGGACAGAACAAGAGATGAGACACACCATTAGGGATGCACAATATATATTGGTACCAGACTGTCTTGACATTTACATTCACTTACAGTTAATCTAAAAAACAAAAATAATTTAATACGGTTAAATATAATCATTAGCGAACCTCAAAATGAATATCTTTCATATTGATTGTGATGCCTACATTCACTTGTAGCATTTAAAAACAATTGATTTTATTTTTCAGAGATTGTTTTTGAATATATTTAGACAAAATAGTATAGAATTCTGATACTGCCTTATTATTGTCTTGGGATGAAAATAATGAGAAGAAGCAGATTTCAGGCATTTCATTTTCACTATTGTTTACATTAAAAATACCTTACCATTTGCAAGATTAACAGAGAGCATCAAAGCATGTAGACGGAACTTCTGTGAAACCTGTGAAAACAAACAGTTAGATGCAACCTGATATCATGAGAGAATGTAATCTTATTTATGAACTGGCAGTTTCATATAATTATATGTACAAAAACAAACTTTTTAGAAAAAAAGAGCAAGCATGATGGTCCAACGCTAACCCATAGACCTTAATCAGGTTAGATGCCATACTTACATACAGTCGTTACAATGACATGCACTGTATAAAGTTCCTAGATCATTTAATTTCCACAACTTTTAAGTTTGTTTTAAGGAGATTTTGTCTACTTTTTGTCAGCTTAACAATAAGTGTGTTGTTAAACTACAGTACAATCCACTGAACTAAGGTCCATTCCTAAACCTAACCCTAAGTTGGGCATAAGCAGATCGTAGAGATACAATGCATTAAATTCACAACATTTAAGATTTGTCAATAGACGGCAAAAAAAAAACCCCAGAACATTTACCACCTCTTTGCCTCAGTGGACTTTAGTCCAAAGTATATTTGACTCTCTTCTTTAAAGACTTACATTTGTGAAGATGAAATGAACTGTGATTTCTTCCGACTTCAGCACAAGGGAAGAGTCATTGCCACCACTTCCACAGGCTCCACTCACTTCCGTTACATTAGGACTCGGGTCAAGATTAAGAGTCTGAAAGCTGGCATTCTAAACAAGAACATAAAAGACTTGCAGTGGCATAATAGCATATCACAACAAATTTGCAGCAAAATATCACAACTTTCAATTCTTGCGTTCCTCTGTACAGATCTTTCGTACCTACCTCACTCATTTTGAAACTGAACTGAAGGCCCATCTTTGCCAAAAGACAGACTGTGACATTGTCTGACTTGACACTGTAGTTTCCAACAGTTGGGTTGGGGACAGGAGGAGAGGTCGGAGGAGGAGTTGGAGCTGTTGTAGCATTAGAGTGTGCGGTAGTTGGCGCTTCTGTGGTGGAATTAGTCGTGTTGTGATGTGGGGTAGTTGGAGGCACTGTAGTAGAATTAGTCGTGTTGTGATGTGGGGTAGTTGGAGGCTCTGTTGTAGAATTAGTCGTCTTGTGATGCGTGGTTGGAAATTCCGTAGTCACAGCGGCAGAAGTGGCAGCTGAAGAGTGTTTGGAGGTGGTTGGAGAAGAAGTGCTGGAGATGATTTGGCTTGTGCTTAACTGCTGTATTGCGGGTAATGGTGATGTCACCAGATCATCAGCATGCACAATACCTACACACAGGGTGGAAGCATAATGTTATTTCCTCATAGTTCACATGTGACACTGAGAATAGACAAGCCTGCCCTTCCAAGCTTCCAAAATCAAGTTTAGCTAAACGCTTATAAATGCTAAATCACTAAAGACTTAAAAACATAAGGACAGGTACTTGGTTCGGCATTATATCAAAAGTGAAAGACTACTTGGACACGCCACAGCCTTTCAACCACCTCTATGCGTAAGGAAATAAAAACAGCAATCCAAGCACATTCCAGTACCTTCCTTCCTGACTAACTGGCAGCAAACTAACACTAAAAATATTGCATTTGATTTGCTTTTGTCTAAGACCTAACTGATTACGGCTGGAATACACCAGATTTTCAATTTGCAATCAGGAGTTGACGCTAGTTGCCAAAAGTCAAAGCCAGTCCACAAACTTTGGGCATTCGGAGTTGATAGATTTCACAGAAAATCACATACTGTGTGATGGGCACAGACTCTGATTTTTTTTTTTTTAGCTTCCATCCAGTCGGAGGATATCAAACATGTTTGATACTTTGGGCCAATTTTATAACTCATATTGTTCTCATTTATCATGCATCTCTTAGCAACAAGGCGCATGTTTCTGCTTGAGTTTGTGGTGTTCAGAATGACTTGAAAGTCTGGTAGTGTGTGATCCTCAGTCATTTAGTGTACAACGCCCAGTTTTTCCTCTGTAACCATTTGCAAAGTCGTCAAGCGCATGATGTCACGTTTAAAAACCATTCAGACTTTAAATGTTGTGTAAAGTACACCAGCCTTTAGATTATCACAGTGAGTGGCTGTCCCCTGTCCTGTAGTTTGATGAAATCATTAACCTGGTGCTTCACACACAAACCCAACACATGATTATGAATGTGGGTGGGTGAGAAAAATACACTGAACAAGCACTTCAGGATCACATGCCTTTGAAGTTAAAGGTGTCAAGTGAGCGAAATCTATGGCATTTCTTCCTTCCATTTTTCGCTGAAAATATTAAAAGATTATTAAACTGTTAAAGTGAGTGTTCGAAAATATTAACACAGAACGTCAGTCTGTCTCAACACTAATTGAAAACCGTTATAACCAATATCAGATTTCTTTAACACACTGCAGTTAACACATCAGTACATGATATACTGGCTTTATTACAGCACTGCCTAGCTTGAATCACACCGGTTGTGTCTTAAAACCTTGCAAAACTACCAAAATAGACAGCATTTTTGGACATTAAAACTTCAAATTTTGCGCCCATTATTGCTTTCTATGTAGGCAGCGCGCTAGATTGAGACAAGGCCAGAGTTTTATTTTTTACCTCAGTGCAATTTTACTAAATTATACAATATATTTAACATCCCCTAAACATATTTTAGCCTATGTTGTTTTACATTTAAATTCGTTAACAATCTAGCAGGCAAACATCATAAATTGAACGGTAATACACGGGTTATCTATTAAAATGAATTTATGTAATTTATTGATCACTCCTGAATTGTATTAATGTGTTTAAAACGATGCAAGGACGGTAAATATTTATCCCACAAGCTGACAGTCTCTTTGATTATCTAACGCTCTTCTACTGGCGTAGATTAGAATTCACGCTAATGCTAAGGCTCTCGCGCTCCTGTGGGCCTGCGATAACCTCCCAAAAATAAACTCAATATCTGCTTTTGTAATGTGACACCGTCTGAAATAAAACACTAAACAACACAGTCGTACGTACCGCACAGTAGAATAAAGAGCAGGGTCATACAACCGCGGACAGTCATTGCGACGGGTGGATGGCTCCTCTGAGCAGGCAGACGGTAAGTGACGCCCGGACCGAGTTTGACCCGGTTCAGCTTTTGCCAACGAAAATAATTCTAAACAAAGATCACACAGCACTGTTTTGCATCTCTGAGCAATGGACGGTGTTTGTTTAATTATTGAATGAATCAGCTTTTTGAACGAATCGGTTGATAAAAATGAGGTATATGCTTTCCAACTGAAGATTCATGAGATGAACCTTTGAGCAATTTCTGAGAAATGGTTTATCATTGGTTGATCTACATTCTCTTCATTAGCGAAAGTCAAGATTCACTTGCACAATTCATGCCAAATTTACAAAAAGTCTAATAATAAAGTGTAAAAAAAATGTGCTTGACAGTTTATGACAACTAGATGAACCATTTTGCATTTAATGACTTATACGATGAACTAAAGACTAGATGTTTTGAGGGGTAAGACTATTGCACAGAAAACTATATAAAACATTTTGAGCAACATGACATTAGCAAATGATAATGTAGGAATCTGCAGACAAACGTACAAAATCACTTGCATGAATGTACCAAAGCAATCGCAACTTGTTCAAAAGAATGAGAAACTGCTATTATGATGTGCACAAGTGCCTAGATGATATGGAGGTTGAACAAGTAGTTTTGAGAATTTCATTTCTGATCAGAGAAATGCACCAAAGCGACTGAGAAAAACTGTAATGTAAAAACATTCAATGTCTGTAGCACCAGTGCTATATGCAAAAAAAAGTTAACGTACAGCCCTGGTATGATATTTATTGTTTTTACTGGAGGAAAAATAGGAAAGTAACAGATAATACTGTTTAAGAAATTACAATGTTTACCAAACTGACAAAAATACGTTTTCTATGTGCTTGTGTACAAATAATTGTTTCTTTTCTATGTGGTTTCCTCAACAAAGTACATCCATTTTCTTGTTTCTGTTTCCTGTCTAATCTCTCTCCTATGTTGCTGGTTCATTAATATTCAACATATGATTACCATACTAGGCAGAAATGCTAATTTAAAAAGTACTAGTATCTATTAAATTCAGGATATCTCTGGTCTAAAACGTTACTAGTAACTGAAAAATAAGTACTAGTTCTATTTTTTCTTAACAAGAAGAGTATAATTAAATACTAGTCACTATTGGAATAAGTACTAGTATTTAATAAATAAGAACTAGTATCTAATGAATAAGTACTAGTAACTTTACAAAAGACACTGTTACCTAAAGAATAAACACTAGTACCTAAAGAATAAGCACTAGTAGCTAAAGAATAAGCACTAGTACCTAATGAATAAGTACTAGTACTTAATGGAAAAGATACTAGTATCTAAAAAAATAAGTACTAGTACCATAAAAATAAATACTAGTATACGGCTTATAGATTAAATGTTAAAACGGCTTTCCATAGCACATGAGCCTTACGTCGAGTTTATGACCACTGTTCAATTGCCAAACCTGTGTGTAATTAAATCAGCTACAGAAATGTTTTATTCCTGTTTCAGAGCGCAATAAATAAGCAGACGATTGGTCTAGTAAAAGGAAACAACTAAGTCTTTGCTATGAAAAGATTTAAGGTTTTAAAGTTTTATCTGATCACACAAACTATTACAAAACCACTGTAGATCAGATCATAACATTTGTTCATTATTAATGCCAAAACGTAAATTTAAAGGAGCACAGTTAGCATAAATACTGCTATGTGTGAAAATGTAATATTAGTAAAGCCCGTTATCCAAATGTTATATGCAGTTTCTGACGCTATTATCACTTTTTTCTAGTTGATGCCATGCATATTTAAGGTTTAAATGAGTGATAATCTGTTTTGGCACATATCTCAGCCCTTGTATTAGGTTTGAATCTGTGCATTATATATATATATATATAGACTATATATGTTATAGTCGAGGACCCTAATTGGATTCAATACAGTTCACCAAAAATCAGACAAAAACAAATTAAAATCTGTTAAAAAAAAGCAAAACTTTATCATTATACAGCACATTATACACATATTTTGTGGTTAAATGAAAACATTTTTGAATCACAAAACAATTCAAATGGCATAAAATGCAGTTTACATACAAAATCAAACCATAAAAGAAATTGTAATTAGCTAAGTGTATTAAATTACTTAAAACGCATTTGACATCCTGCCCCATTAAATGTGACAACTGGCCCTGACCAGACATTTATGGATAACAGAATTGAAACCTTTTAGTAAAAATAAACATTATATAGTTGGCCACAAAAAACATTTAAATTTTAGCTTGGAGGATATCATTAACAACGTTATTCTTATTTAAAGGGGTCATATGATGCTTTTTTAAAGATCATTATTTTGTGTATTTGGTGTAACAGAATATGTTGACATGCTTTAATGTTCAAAAAACACATTATTTTTCAAATACTGTACATTATTGTAGGTCCTCTATGCCCCGCCTCTCTCAAACGCTTAGTTTTCTACAAAGTCCCTCCTTCCGACAAGCGCAGTCTGCTCTGATTGGCCAGCTGACCCAGTGCATTGTGATTGGCCGAACACCGCAAGCACTCGTCGGAAATGTAACGCCCCTTACCATAATCGCGAGCTTCATCTTTCAAAATAAATGTAAAGACAGAGCCCGAAAGGGGAACAGAGTCGCGTGACAGACACAGTGATGAAGCTGGTATGTGTTTGTGATGTGACCCTCTCCCTCTCTCTCTCTCTCGCGCTCTCTCTCTCGCTTTCTCTCTCTCTCTCTCTCTCTCTCTCGCTCTCTCTCTCCCTCTCTCTCTCTCGCTCGCGCACACACACGATGTACAAAACTCTGAATTTGAACAGTCAATAGCAAATACTTAAATTATTAACAAAACAGTAGCTGATTCAGAAGCGCCAGATTGTCATAGCAAAGTCAGAATTACCTCCTCTCCTAGGTTCACGTAAATGCATCTACTTTCGGAAGGCCAAATAAAGTGCTTTTGCTTTCGCCTAGAAACACACAGCGTCTCCCTGACATGCTGCTTCAACACTAACGGTTACTGAAACCACGCCTTCTTTCTTCTTTCTTTCTTTGCGTGCACATTTGGGCAGCATTATGCAAATATTCCAACATAGTGAGGTAGATATGTGGGGGCGTGTTAGAACAAGCCGTTTTAGGCGGGCGTGGCAGAGTCTTAACTTTGATAAAGTATATCTCTTTGGTTTTGAGACTTTAGTCTTTGCAACTTCAGGGATCTTATCTATGCACAATCAGCTTGTAACACTCCAAAGAGAAATGAAAATTTGAAATCGCATCATATGACCCCTTTAAGATAGTTTTGAGTGAAATATTCCTAATGTTTTTAAGCGCTTGGAGACTAGTCTTCGCATGATGTATTGTCGCCCCCTGGCGGAGAGTCGGAAACGTCAGGCCTCGCGCTTAACCAAAGCGCCTCAAACAGCAGCTGCGCAACGGTAGAAAGTACTTCCGGCGGGTCAGCGTCGCCTCTTAAAAAAGTTACTATTTCCCCGCTGACTTTTCCTCAAACCTAAAATACCAGTCTATCTACCGAGCGGAAAGACAACGTCCGGCAGAATGCTTTAACGCAGACAGCCCTCGGCAAAAAGCAGTTTGTAATCCAACGGACTGTGTGCAGCGCGCCGGAGTGTGCTCGAGCGAGAGGAAGCAGTATTCAACCATCTTTCCTCTGCTGGCAATAACAAGAACAGAGAAGGGTCCAAGTGGGGCTGCACTTCTCAGTTTATCCTCTTTTTCTCCTTATTCATACTCGGAGCCGCGAGGCTGCACTTTCCCCGACCGAGACCGAGGAATAGAAAGCGTCCACACCCGGGATCGTAGTATTAGTAGATTAGCGATTTGATTTGGTATTTCTTTTTTCATGTTTCCAACAGGTTTACCTTCCCCTAATCCCCCACCGCCAGCCCAAGAGCCTAGACCGGCAGCTTCTGATGTTCACAACGACAGTAACGTTAGCTTAACGTCTTCTAAGAAGAGGAAAATTAACAGTTCCGAGAAGGAAGACATTGATTCAATATCTTCGTCTCATAAAGCCATTTGTAATTCCTCCTCCACAACGTCCTGCTATTCCAGTACACAGCAACAGCAGCAGCACATCCAGAAGAAGTTGAGGTTCGAGGACCCGCTGGATTTGATCGGACTGGATGTGAAGATGGCCGAGGAGTCGTGTAACCCTGCAGAGTCGTGTTCCAAGGCGAGAAATGTGTTCCTGCCTGGAGGTGTCGGGCATCATGCTAACGGACTGACCAAGTCTGCGGGCTCCGCCACCTTCTCCAACAGCAAACCCGGTGCTGCGAAGAAACTTGTTATCAAGAACTTTAAAGGTAGGTGAATAGTCTGGGTTCGCCCTCGTCTTGTCTGAAAACATCTTGAGCTGTGTCTCAAAACTTAGAGAGCTGCCAGCCTATGCAGCATTTTTGGCTAAACGCATCTGCGATGTCCAGAAATGATGCGTAGTATCTATCTTCGTCTCCTAAAGCCATTTGTAATTCCTCCTCCACAACGTCCTGCTATTCCAGTACACAGCAACAGCAGCAGCACATCCAGAAGAAGTTGAGGTTCGAGGACCCGCTGGATTTGATCGGACTGGATGTGAAGATGGCCGAGGAGTCGTGTAACCCTGCAGAGTCGTGTTCCAAGGCGAGAAATGTGTTCCTGCCTGGAGGTGTCGGGCATCATGCTAACGGACTGACCAAGTCTGCGGGCTCCGCCACCTTCTCCAACAGCAAACCCGGTGCTGCGAAGAAACTTGTTATCAAGAACTTTAAAGGTAGGTGAATAGTCTGGGTTCGCCCTCGTCTTGTCTGAAAACATCTTGAGCTGTGTCTCAAAACTTAGAGAGCTGCCAGCCTATGCAGCATTTTTGGCTAAACGCATCTGCGATGTCCAGAAATGATGCGTAGTATCTAAAGCAGTAGTAAACAACTTAAGTAACTGTCTTACAAAAGGAAAAGTGCTGCTGTCATGGTGTTGAGACCAGCTTTTTATCTATACGCACTTATATATAGACTTCATTATGTAACTGGCGTTTGTTTATGAAGGAACTTCCCTTACGTA